TCCACAAGACAAGTGTGTCTATGTTTACCCCACCTCGCACCTCGCCCTGCACAACGACCTGCGCATACCCACCACCGTTTGCCGACCACCCAACAGAGTCGAGTCGAGCGAGCACGGCCAGCCCCATCACACACACTCTCACACACACACACACACACTGATTGCAGCTACCAAGCCGATGAGCTCAAGATCATGGGCACTGGACATTTTGATCTACCCAGACAAAATCCCTGGCTGTACTGATGGACAATGGTCATGTTGGTCTTGGGGGGGGGGGGTGGGAGGGGGTGGGAGGGGGGGAAGCTCCGCTCGGGTCCGCCGTGACAGGCCGATGGAAACGAGTCGGTTCGGATGGGCGCCGTTGGCCCAGAGCGACGGACGGAGCGAGTCAGTGGGGAGGGCGGCAGTGAGGGGGAGGCGAGAGGAGAGGACAACTTGTCTCGCCCCCGTTGTCGACCATGTCGTACCCTATCCGCACGCAAACCGCGGGCGTGTACAACCCTCTCTCTCGTCGCACTGCAGCGGCTACAGCTGCTCGCCCTGCTGCCCGTACCAAGGCCCGCAAGTCCCGCTCAAAGGTGCCCTCGGAGCCGCCTCCGGACATTGTCCGAAACGCCACCACGGGCGCCAAGTACAAGACTGGCGCCCTTCTTGGCAAGGTAAGCTTCTTTCCCATCTTCATCCACATATCTGCGTTCTCCACTGCATGCTCTACCCATTGGGCTTGTTCTAGCTCTCATAGCTCTTTGCTAGCCCCCATACCTGTCCCCTGTGCGCCTCGCCACGTCGTGAGCCGCCGTTGCGCGCGGCGGCGAAAATTTTGAATTTATGGCCTTTCGGCCGGCATTTTTGAAAATTTAACAAAATCGCAGCGAGGCGGTAGATAGGGATGCAAGGCGGGAAGGAGGCGCTGGTGCGGGTGCAAGCAGGGGGCAGAGGGAGCAGAGGAGCGCTTGCAGACAAAGAACTGACGACAGCTACTGCAATGTGTGGTTGGATGGCTGCGCGGGAGAGTAGGGCGGCTTTGCGCGCGTGTACAAGTTTCAGGACATGGCAACAGGCAAGGTGTACGCCGGCAAGGTGGTGGCCAAGTCATCCATTACCGGCGCACGGGCGCGTGCCAAGCTCAAGTCTGAGATCAAGCTCCACCGGTCGCTGGACCACGAGAACATTGTGAGCTTTGTTCAGTTTATGGAGGACTCCAAGTTTGTGTATATCCTGCTCGAGATCTGCACCAACGGCTCTTTCATGGAGCTGCTCAAGGCGCGGCGGCAGCTGACCGAGCCCGAGGTGGCGTACTACATGTGGCAGCTGCTCGAGGCTACCGAGTACATGCATGCACGCAACATCATCCACCGCGACCTCAAGCTCGGCAATCTGTTCATCGACGACAAGCTCCAGGTCAAGGTCGGAGACTTTGGCCTCGCCACCTCGGTCGAGCACAAGGGCGAGCGCAAGAAGACCATCTGCGGAACGCCCAACTACATTGCACCGGAGATTCTGGACTCGCGCAACAACGGGCACTCGTTTGAGGTCGACATCTGGTCGATTGGCGTCATTCTCTACACCATGATTATCGGCAAGCCGCCTTTCGAGACGTCCAAGCTCAAGACGACGTACAACCTCATCAAGACCAACACGTACTCGTTCCCGCCGGACAAGCCCATCTCAGAGGCGGCCCGGTCGCTCATTCGCTCCATGCTGCAGGCGCGGCCGTCGGCCCGCCCCACCATTGCCGAGATCAAGGCCCATCGGTTCTTCTCCGACAATCCGATCCCAGCCTCACTCCCGCCGACGGCGCTCAAGCGCGCCCCGCTCCATTCGGAGCTGTTTGGGTCGAGCGCCGATGGCGCTGCGCCGTCGACCTTGTCGCTGGCCAACAAGTACGCCGCCGACGGCGGTTCGTCGTCGGCAGCGGCCATTGCCGCCAAGTACGCGTCGCGCGCGCCGCTCGGCGAGCGCGCCTCCGCCCGCTCTGCTGCCGCCTCGTCCAACTACACTGAGGCGCTCAAGGCCAAGTATGGCGTGGGCTCGGGTGGATACGCGGCCAAGGCCAAGGCCAAGGCCAAGGCCACGGCGAGCGCCACTGATGCCGCCGACGCGCGCCCATCGTCTGGCAGCGCAGGCACCACCAAGGCCGACGATGACGACTCGGCCGCGCTCCGCGCCATGCACGACAAGCTCACCAAGTCGTTTGCCCTGATGAACTCGGGCAAGGCGGCGGCGGCGGCAGCGGCACCCGACGGTGCCATTCCGTCCGAGCCGGCAAAGTGGGTCATCAAGTGGGTTGACTACTCGAACAAGTACGGGCTCGGCTACCAGCTCTCCGACGGCACCATCGGCGTGTACTTTAACGACTCGACCAAGATTGTGCTCTCATCGAACGGGACCAACGTCGACTACGTCGAGCGGCTGCGGTCGTCGGCCGGCTCGCGCGACCTCGCCCAGTCTGTGACCATGGAAGAGTATCCTGAGTCGCTCAACAAGAAGATGACGCTCCTCACGTACTTTAAGAACTACCTGATGGAGCACCTCGAGCGCGCAGACAAGGACGGCGAGTCCTCTTCCTCCACCCGCGCCTCATCGCCGGGCATCTCGGCCATGAACGTGCCCGATGCCAAGGACGCGCCCACCGCCGGCATGGTCTATGTCAAAAAGTGGCTCCGCACCAAGCACGCCATCATCTTCCGCCTCTCCGACAAGACCGTCCAGGTCAACTTCTTTGACCACACCAAGATCATCCTCTCGTCCGAGGCCCAGATCGTGACTTACGTCGACAAGCAGCGCAACACCTCGACCCACACCCTTCAGGCTGTCATGGTCGAGCAGTCGCCGGACCTGGTGAACAGGCTGACGTACTGCCGCCAGATCCTCTCCAAGATCGCCTCCAAGGCCTCCTCCAAGCAGACTGCTGCATGAGATGAGGCCCCTGATATCCTCTCAACAAACACCCCTGTCAACTGTATGCACGCCTTGGTCGTGCTGCCGAACTGCTGGTCGTCGGCGACGGGCTGGTCACTCCTGCATCAGCTCAGCGCAGCATCTGCACCACATGGACCGTCGCCTCATTGCCCACGCCAGCATTTGCCAGCGACTGATCATTGCCGAGCTGTTGGCCCTCGTAGATGATCCGCTGGACGTCGGCCACGGGTCCGCCAGCATCGGCCACGGCTTGCCTGAGCTCAGCCACGGTGGCGATTTTGGCCACCTGGACCGCCACCTCGGCTCCGGTCAGCTTCTTAACCCATACCTGCATCATCAGCTGCGCCTTTTCTGCGGCAAACTCGGCTTTGGACGGTGGCGGCGCGGACATGGCTGTGTTGTGGGGCGTACAGTGGCCAGTTGGCATTCACGAGTCAATGATGCTGTCCTTTTGGTGTGCGGCCGCTCGCAGCGGCATGTGTCGCAACCGGCGCTCGTGCTGTGGCTGTAGCGTCAGCGAGGAACGACGGGGACGATAACCACATGCTTCACTGCTGAGAGACGGTGCGGAAAAACGAGGCTACAGCCGATGATGGCGGCGGTGCTGTGGAAGCCACAGGCTCGGCGGCAGCTGCAGCGCCGCGCGACGAGTATTTTTCCAGCAGCGCCACAATCTCGGCCTGCTGGACCTGAAACTGCCGCAGCATGTCGACGTGGAGGTTCTGAATGTCGCGGTGGATCGAGTCGCGGAAGGCAGA